AATTAATTTGTGTACTTTTTGAGTCTGCATGTCCATATTAATTTGTGATTCACTGCCTTCCTTGATGGATTTCGTCGGATTTTGCTTGATTTGTTGGATTTTTGCTTGATTTGTTGGTGTTGGCTTCTTGTGATATATTATGGTCGGTTTGAGCTTAATGACAGATGGCTTTCTTTGGTACTCAATTCTGGTATTTGTTCTTTTGGTTTATGTTTTTTTAGATGGGCAGTGATGATGATAACAAACTGAGAATGCATCCTATTTTAATTAATTATGTAATGTTTAGGCGAGGCAATTCTGTGTGGAATGCCACCTACATTGATATTACGGCTTTATTGATTCTTGTTGCTAATTTTTATTGTTGGCTTTTTGTGCTTACATTGAGGTATTGGTTGTTGGCTTATTGTGGTATATAATGGTCAGTTTGAAGTTAATGACAATTGACAGATGGCTTTCTTTGGTACTCAATTCTGGTATTTGTTCTTTTGGTTTATGTTTTTTTAGATGGGCAGTGATGATGATAACAAACTGAGAATGCATCCTATTTTAATTAATTATGTAATGTTTAGGCGAGGCAATTCTGTGTGGAATGCCACCTACATTGATATTACAATGTTTGGGTGATGTAATCCCTCATAATAGCAGCCTACATTGCATCATAGTTTTATAGGAGAGGCAATCTTTTATGACCAATCTATTTTTATCCTGAGCCCTAGTAAGTCCTCATAGATTTTGGTGATGAATTCGAGCTTGTTTAGCTCTAAGTTTAGTAGGAATTGGTGTTATTTTGTAGCTTATATAATTGACATACATAGTTGAAAGAGCTGGTTTTATTTATTCAAGCAACTTTGAATAATGTTCTTTTCACAGATTGCCAATTATTTTCTTTTTTTTGTTTAAAGTTTTTTTCAGATTGTCGCTCTTTTGAACAGATGGTTTGAAGAGTTTTGCATTCAACATTTTGGTGGTTATTTTCAAAATTTTGTAAGATGAATGTGTTGGGCCCGCAAGCTACTGTAGCAACGACTGTTTTTGAAGAGGTATGTAGCAAGTTTGATTACTTTTTCCACTTGGTTTTTCCACATATTGCCTCTCTTTTGTTTTTTTTTGGTTAACCATTTATATGTACTTGGGCCCGCAAGCTACTGTAGCAACGCCTGTTTTTGAAGAGGTATGTAGCAAGTTTGATTACTTTTTCCACTTGGTTTTTCCACATATTGCCTCTCTTTTGTTTTTTTTTGGTTAACCATTTATATGTACATGAGGTGTCAACTGCAGAACCATCTTTGATTTTTCTCACTGGAAACGTAAAAAATCCCTTTTGCAATTAATTTGTGTACTTTTTGAGTCTGCATGTCCATATTAATTTGTGATTCACTGCCTTCCTTGATGGATTTCGTCGGAATTTGCTTGATTTGTTGAATTTTGGGTTAACCATTTATATGTACATGAGGTGTCAACTGCAGAACCATCTTTGATTTTTCTCACTGGAAACGTAAAAAATCCCTTTTGCAATTAATTTGTGTACTTTTTGAGTCTGCATGTCCATATTAATTTGTGATTCACTGCCTTCCTTGATGGATTTCGTCGGAATTTGCTTGATTTGTTGAATTTTGGCAATTACAGGTTTCATTCATTCATGATATTCCCTTTCGTCGAATAGTTGATGAATAATTGGATATCAAAAGCATGAAATTTTGTTAATCTATTGTTTCCCTATTTTTTTGGGTATTTTTTATGCTTAATTTCATGCTAGATTCATTAAATTTGGAATTAAATTTGGCTTGATATTTGTTAAGTTTTCTTCTGTAACAGCAATTTAAATGCGAAGAAGTGATAGTATCTTCTGTCTATTTAACTGACTTATGCTTAGGTTTTAAATTTGCATTATGGAGTTCCTTTTATAGAACGATGAATTTTAACAGTAAAAAGCTTTGAATGTTTTTTAAGTTAAAAGTATAAATTAATCTGTAAATAGAAAGTTCTCGTTGAACAAAATAAAGAGCTTTGAATGTTTTAACAGTAAAAAGCTTTGAACGTTTCAACAACTGATTTACAAAAAAAGGAATTGGCTTTTTGGGCTTACATTGAGGTATTGGTTGTTGGCTGCTTGTGATATATTATGGTCGGTTTGAGCTTAATGACAGATGGCTTTCTTTGGTACTCAATTCTGGTATTTGTTCTTTTGGTTTATGTTTTTTTAGATGGGCAATGATGATGATAATAAACTGAGAATGCATCCTATTTTAATTAATTATGTAATGTTTAGGTGAGGCAATTCTGTGTGGAATGCCACCTACATTGATATCACAATGTTTGGGTGATGTAATCCCTCATAATAGCAGCCTACATTGCATCATAGTTTTATAGGAGAGGCAATCTTTTATGACCAATCTATTTTTATCCTGAGCTCTAGTAAGTCCTCATAGATTTTGCTGATGAATTCGAGCTTGTTTAGTTCTAATTTTAGTAGGAATTGGTGCTATTTTGTAGCTTATGACTTTAATCATACATAGTTGAAAGAATTGGTTTTATCAGGAACTGCTTGTGTAACTTTGAGGCAGTATTGATCATTTAAATTGGTTGTTCACCTGTTATATATTTTTTGCCTTATCTTCAAAAAAAGTCAAACATGTGGCTGGGAGTTTATTTGCTTATATTCCATTGATATTATGGTCGATTTATATCATTAAAAGGTGTTTGCATCTATATCTCAATGATCGGAGATGTAAATATAACTTAGTTAATTAGGCCTGCTATACACTTGCCAAAAATGATTAATAAAATTGGTTCATGATCAGGTACCTGACTTGCCTTTTTTTAGTCGAAGAATTTATTTCATAAACCAAAAACTGAAGATATTTATGTGCCTTTCCTCACAATTATAGTGTGTGTCTGCTTTAATGTTTTACTTCAGACATTGTAATTGATATTAATTACTTTTTTCTCATATTATAGAAATGATTACTTCTAAATGGTGTAAGCTTTAACTCTGGTACTTACAACTAAATTTAAGCATGTAATCAAGAGGATGCTTTACATTGTTTGAGAAGCTAATTAAACTATTGGATGATATTTATTTCATTAAAAAGTGATTACATCTATATCTATATCTGAATGATCAGAGGTGTAAATATGATAAATTAAATCATACCTGCTATACACTTTCCAAAATGATTATTCTTTTGTAGATCCTCCATCAATGAGTCTAGTTTGATCTTGAACACTCTTGCGACGATATCTGGTCTTTCATCGGGTCTTTGTCCGCCATTATTTCTGAGAAATTCAAGAATTTCATTCCACTTTGGATTTGATGTTACCGTGATGAAAAGATCAGGGTTTCCCATAACACGGCAAAGAGCTATTGCATCTTGGTAATTTTGGGTCATATACCGTGGTCCGCCAGTGAAAGAGGAAGGTAACACAATTCTCTTACCTACTTGTGCACCCTCAGTATCTCCTCTATGTAGTGCATCCTTGATACCACAGTATAACTCCGCACGAATCTTTGACTGGTTAACTTTAACCCAATGAAGTCTTTCCTCCTCAATGCAGGTCCTAAGATCCACAATGTAAGTTTGTAATAGTTTCCCTGATAAGAGTAATGTTTGTGCCTCAGTCTGGCGCTGCTGCAAACGAAATGAAGCATACTCCATGTATGTAACTTCTTTCCTTTTTTTCTGAGGATTGTTGCTATTCTGATTAAGTTCCACGCCAAGTCTAAAACCATCCTCTCCATATGGAAAAAGTAGTGGATATTGCATTGCCATAAAGCTTGGGTGGAGATCACTTATCCTTGTTAATCCCAATTTACGATCATCAACGACAATGTCTCGAATGCCAATCGTATCTTCAATGTTGCCGACAATTAAGCCAGCAATCTCCCCTGCTGTTGGCATGTTTTGATGTCGTCCATCACTGCTTCGGGCTGCCTTTATGATTAATTTGATAGGAATTAAACTATCTTGCTTTAGTCTATCCCTCACCATTCGAAAGCATTTAACCAATTCATTACATGAATCTAACATAGTTAGAAGTCCTTCAACTATATTCCAATCCAATTCCATGTAATCATTTAATGCATTCATACGGTTTTCTAATTCATTATCTGTATCATAAATGTAGAGCTGACAGAATTTTGGGTTATTTCCATGGATTGGTCTCAAAGAACCTATCCTATGATGGTTTTGACCATTCAAACGAAAACAATAAGGCCCACCTCCATTATTGTATGTATTGTCAATTGTCCCGCCTGAGGAAGTAAATGCAAACATTGAGTTATAACTTCTGATATTTTCTTTAAATTTCTTGCTTCTGCTATCATGACCAGTTAACAGATTCCAGAGAAAAACAGGAGGATGCTTGAGGAGAGGAAATTTGACAGATCCTTTTCGACAGCATAGTGAGAAAGTTGGGTTTTGAGGGCTCTTTGATTTCTCAGCTCTTTCTTCATACCAAAGCATAGCATCACAATGTTCGCAAACAAAAGTTGGTGATCCCACATTGTGTATATCATTGTACAAACCTAGAAGTACACAACAAATGACAATGTGTCAATGTCAACAGCAGATGAGCCATGAAAATGGGGACAATTATTTGACATGCCAATAATGTAAGCAAGTTATACCTTTCTCATTTATTTGTTTGCCTTTTCTCCTTCCTTTGTTGCTATGAATAACTGAATTAGATTGGTTATTGTTCGTAACAGGTCGTACATTATCTTCCATTTGCAAGTGAGAATCAGCGAATGATGAATCACATAATATTTGTTCAATCCTTGTACGCTTGATAATAACCGGTGATGTATCCTGAATGGAGGTAGTGCTACAGGTACCATTATCTGTATGAACAACTTTCCTCTTTACTTTTCTCTCTTTGTTTTTATAGGTTCGAAGAGCTGAAAACAAATGATGGGTAGTTAGTATTAAGGAGTACCACTATGTCAAAGTTGTAGTGCGTCAACAAAGAGTGAATACTTTCTCACTTTGATTCCGGCGATTTGGTAAAGACAAATATACTGAAAGGTGCATAGTATACTTACAGAATTAAAGAACAATAACAGAATTAAAGAACAATAACATACTTACAGAATTAAAGACAAATATACTGAAAGGTGCAATAACATACTTTCAATAAGTTAACATTCCAGAATTAAAGAACAAAGAAGACCTCAAAATTGAATAGTTGATAAATTTTGATGCTATGCTTACAGAATGTAAAGACAAATATACTGAAAGGTGCATAGTATACTTACAGAATGATTTAAGGATTGATTCCAAAAGTCCAAAAGCTTTTTCCACTTCTATATAATTGAAACCTAAATAGCATAAGTTAGCATAATTTTGTTATCTGAAGAACATGTTGAAGAAAATTGAGAGGGTAAAAAAAACTCACCCAAGGCAGAGGTTATTGCAGTAGAGTTTAGAGTGTATACATGTATTTCCTTATTGCTCTTTTATTACCTGACAACTTATAATATATTATAAATTCAGATTTGCCGCTTTTTTCAGATTGCCGCTCTTTTCACATATGGTTTGAAGAGTTTTGCATTCAACATTTTGGTGGGTATTTTCAAAATTTTGTAAGCTGAATGTGTGGGGCCCGCAATACACTATAGCAACGCCTGTTTTTGAAGAGGTACGTAGCAAGTTTGATTATTTTTTCCACTTGGTTTTTCCACGTATTGCCTCTTTTGTTTTTTTTGGTTAACCATTTATATGTACATGAGGTGTCAACTGCAGAATTTTGCAAGTGGCTTGTGTGGGGCCCATAAAACACTGTAGCAACGATTGGTTTGAAGATTTATTCAAGCAACTTTGAATAATGTTCTTTTCACAGATTGCCAATTATTTTCTTTTTTTGTTTAAAGTTTTTTTCAGATTGCCGCTCTTTTGAACAGATGGTTTGAAGAGTTTTGCATTTAACATTTTGGTGGTTATTTTCAAAATTTTGTAAGATGAATGTGTAATTAGATATATATATATAATATTAGGGTTAGGGTTTAGGGTTAAATAATTAAAATAAAATAATTACGGGTATTTAAAAACTAATCTAATTACAGAATAATCATCTACAATTAAAAACGTACATATTGTGCTATTACAATAATTGATACAAAATAGTCAAAAAATACCCATATTGTACAATTAAACGAAAACAATTAATAAATAAAATATATTTACTTATATTTAAAATCAAGTAATTATGGGATAATTATATACATAGTAAAACGTACCAGTTATACTAATACGACAGATAATATGTAACAGTAGAAATAATACAACAAATTATACCAAAAAAAATATTAAAAATATAAAGTATTATACGAAATAATACGTAATAATATTAATAATACAATATATTATTTAAAATAATACGTAATAGTACTGATAACATAACAAATTAATTCTAGAAAATTTTACTACACGAAATAAATTTATAAATATTAAAATCAATTAAATAAATATATAATCAGATTTTTAAATCATAGAAAATTATAAAAATCGAGAAAAATATAAATACTCTTTTAAAAATAATAATTAAATATTTTAAAATATTAAAAAATTATTTTAACTAGTATCAAAATTCATGGTCCTTAAAGATATACTCTCAAATCTCATACCTTTGAAACGTAAGGATCCAGGTTCTCCTATCATTTCATGTGTCATTGGTAATACTCACATTGATAAGATGTTTTTAGGCTTAGGGGCTAGTGTCAATTTGCTTCCATATTCAGTCTACCAGCAATTGGGTCTAGGTGTACTAAACCCAACCCGCTGTACTTTACAGTTGGCTGATAGATCAGTCAAGGTCCCTATGGGTGAGTTAGAGGATGTTCTGATTAAGGTTGGAGATTTTATTTTTCCAGCAGATTTCGTAGTCTTAGAAACACAGCCTGTTTTTAATCCCAAAGGATAGACACCTGTCATATTAGGATGACCATTCTTAACCACTTCTAATGCTCTTATCAACTGTAGAACTGATCAAATAAAGTTATCCTTTGAGAATTTGACTGCTGATCTTAACATTTTTTAATCCAGAGGACCAACCAAATAATCAGCCTCTAGAAATAAATTACATTCAGGAAAGATCAAAAGAAGAAGAAGAGTCTACTTTGAGTTTTGAGGAATTTTTGATGAAGAGTTGGAGTTTTTAGAAGAAGCGAATCAGGTCATTGAGAAGGATGAAACTGTGTTAAATATTTGCTGCCTTGAATTAAATATTGAAGAACTTTTTCTTGATGAACTTAGATTCTTGGAGAATAATCAACAACCAAATTTTCAGAACTCAACCATGAATCTTGGGGTTGAGGAAAATGCTACAGAAGAATTGGCTGTTAGAAAACAAAAGTTCACAGTACAAGAGTCTAAGATCATTAAAAAATATAAAATACATGACACCAATAATACATACCTTACTTTGTTGCAAGAATTGTTAAACACCCTGAATTGCTTAGAATTTCACATTATTGATTATATCATTCTGAATTTGTTTAAAATCCGGAGAAGAATTTTCAACAATAAGGTAGGATTCAATGTAGAATACGAGCTCTTCATGTTGAACCCTTCATTCTATATTGTTTGTTTTGTTTTATTTTAGAATAATAAAAAGAATTCATTCTTCTCTCATTTGAGAGTTTCTTATTCAGTTGTAAAAGATAAAAATAAAAAAAAGAAGAAGAAAGAAAAAGAATAAATTTTTGATTTCATCCTCCTCAGACCAAAGGTAATTGTAGATTTTATCAGCCGACCAAATATAAGTACTTCACTTCTTATCTACTTTACTTTGTGCATCATAGAGTTTGCATTAAGGACAATGCAAAATTTAGGTGTGGGGGTGGGAATTAATTATTTTCCTATTTATTCTACCTTTTTAGTTGCATTTTTGTTATTTTTTTCCTTCCTTAAAAAAAGAAATTATTATAAAAAGTCTGTTACTTGCCAAATTGATAGAGTTATGTAATAATTGATTTATTTAATAAATTTTAAATTTTCTAATCCCTAGTTTGTTATTTACTCAAGTTTACCTTTTATGATAACTCTAAATAAATTTCTTAAGAAATAATTTTCAAAGTAGTATAATTTACTTAAGCCTTAACTTAGATTTTTATTTAAAATAATGGAATTTATGCATGCTTAGCTTAGAGTTGAAAATAATTTTTCAAAGTGTCTTGATTTACATATTTTTCAGAATATATATACATATACATATTGAAAAGAAAATTAATAACATTGCAAAAGAAGAGTGCGAAAAATGGGCACCAAAAGGGAAAAAATGAAAAAAAAACTCTTGAATTCAAGGTGATTCTAACTTATAAAGCCTAAGCTGACCGAGTAATTAAACCCAAGGAGTATTTCCATACTTAATAGCCTAAGCCCAATTGGATTAGGATCCATTGGTCCAAAACTCATTAAATGATCACTTAGAAAGCCCATTAAAGTAGAAAAAAATCACCAAGGAAGAAAGAGTTAAAAAAAATTATTTTATATATATAGTTATATTTGTATATATGGACTTGGAAAATATTTTAGATCAAGCAACTTGAAAATTATTTAAAACAAAGAGTTAGCATGTTTTTTTCAAAACTTTTAAATTAAATTTTTAAATTTGGCTTGGTTTTGTATTGCTATAATAAGAAGATTTTTTTTAGGAAATTCACTTTAGAATTATTTATAAAAATGTTTTCTTGAGTAATAACTAGCTTCAATTAGATTGTCTAAAATTATCAAGTAAATTTAGTTATTCACTGACTTCTTTAATTTGGCAAGTTGATTGAATTTTATGGGTATATTCACTGCAAACCCTCACGAGATTACAACTCGTCCACTAGGGTAACCCAGGGGTTTAAAGGCTTGTTGTATGCACTAAATACAACCGTGATTCCTACGAAAGTGAGTTAGGATTTTTTTTTCTTTCATTGCTAGAGGACTAGCAAAAGTTTAGGTGTTGGGGTATTTGATAATCATATTTTATTATAATCTTATACCCTCATTATCTATTTTATATGAATAAATATACCATTAATAATTATTTTTATCTTTAATTGCAGGTTAATGAAGAATAAATCTTAAAATCCCATATCTCAACAAAAGCCCATTGATTTAATGAAGAAAACAAATGTGAAGCCCAAAAGCCCAAGAGCCAAAAGCCCAAAGTCAAATACAAGAGGAATTCTCGGACAGCAACCAGAAAGGGGTGCACATCGATGCCAGCATCGATAGTGGCATCGATGCTAGCATCGATGCCCGTATCGATGCCAGGCATCGATGCTAGCATCGATGCCCGTATCGATGCCAGCATCGATACCCCTATCAATGCTGGTATCGATACCATCAGCAGGCAGTTACTAATCTAAGGCTGAAATTCATGGTTTTTGGATAAGATTTCGATCCAAGGGCTCTCATTCACTGATGGTTACTATAAATAGGGGTACATAGTGAAGGGTTAGGGGTATGAAAATTTTTGTATCTCCTTTTGGAGAGGAGGGTTACTCTTAATTGAAAAGACCTTCTAAATTTGTAACTTTTTATTAAAATTAATAAAAGAATTTTTTTCACCACTTTAAATTTTTCTTCTCTTTGTTGGATGATGAAGATGGAGATGAAGATTAATTTGGAGGTTTGTTTTTCTTATTTTCTTATTTTATTTCTTTTCTTATTGCTTAGTAGCTTAGATTTATTTACATGCTTGTAGTTAGATTTCATTTTCTTGTTTAAATAGCCAAGAGGCTAGAACCCTCTTGCCTTAATTTATTTCATGCTTATAGATTAGATTTATTTCATGCTTATAGAGTAGATTTATTTTCTTGCATTTAATTCTTATAATTTGTTTTGTAGTTTAGATTTTGTAATTTATTTTGTAGTTAGATTTTAATTTCTTCTACTATTCACCTTGAGGCTAGAACCCTCTTGGGTTTAGTTTTTTTTTGTTCATTTTCACTTTCTTTGATTAGCCTTTATGCTAGAACCCTCTAGGGAATCACCCTTTTTCTAAGAAGTGGATTCAATTCTAGATTACCCATATCTTTAACTGAATCCGTCATATTTACTTTCTTGAATTTTATTTTTATTCTTAATTTTCCTTTTTTATTCTTGATTTTATTCATCTCTCCTTGTGAAAATCATTCATTCATTGTCACACTCACTCTCACTTATATTTTGCACCTATTTACACACCATTCTCTCCATCTCTCAACAATCATATTCACTCATCACTCCTAATTATCACGCACACAACATAAGAACCAATTTTAATTTTTTCCTACAAAACACCTTCCTCGTGGGATCTATAACTTTTTATACTATAACTTGACACGGTTGTGCACTTGTAACATTTTTGGTACATGTTTATGCCACATCAGTCCCAACAGAAGAAATGAAAGTATATCTGATAAACTGAAATAAGAACAATGAGTCTCTAAAACATAAGAGCCAACTGAACTGTACTGAGGCACTCAGCCTCCAAAATAAAATACATCTCTAAAAGACAATAAACATAAATGATCCACTGTGGAGCACCAACTAACTACCTATGAATGACGTTAAACTATACCTAGTCTCCGTCAACCTGTGGCTCTCCGAATCCCCAACCCGCTACATGAAAAAAGGGGAAAACAACGAGCGTTAGAGCGCTAGCAAGAACATCTCCACCGCCCCTAGAGGAAGGGGTAACACATGCAAGAGAAAATACTAAACATAGCTTGCATACCTATATGCTCTATCCCCTGTACTAAAAGGAGTTAAGATTTATAAACTCACAACATGAGATGAGTACGTCGAGCGAATAATCCAAACAAAGAAACCCTCATATATATACCATGTATCTCAAATTGTGAATTCTTAAATATCAACTCCAAATCATATGAACAAGCAATAAAGAAGTACATCATCAATACCTTATCCAGGACATGTCATGCATGTGAAATCACAGTATCCCACACTACCCTCGTGTAGGTAACACGGGAGAAACTACACAATCATGTGTAATCCTCATCAAAAGGTATATGCCATCACACATAAATGCCAAAATGTTAGACTACATCAATAAATGGTACTCGCCTGAGTCCCAGGCGACCCAAAGATGTAGAGTGTAGTCGTCCGCAATATCATGCGGTTCACTAGACTAACGCTCTTAGTCATCGAAACTAATGCATGATGCAGAGTGAAGTCGCCCGTAATATCATGCGGTGCACGGACCAACACACTCAACAACCTCAACAAAAATGCAACACGGAATGTAGTCACTAGCAGTATCTTGCGGTGTACGGACTAACGTACTCGGAGTGTACCCACTCGCAATATCATGCGGTGCATGGACTAGCGCACTCAAACACCTAAACAAAGACGCACAGCAGAGTGAAGTCGCCCGCGGTCTCATACGGTGCACGGACTAACGCACTTGGAGTGTAGTCCCCCGTGATCACATGCGGTGCACGGACTAACACACTCAAGCGTCCAAAAGCATTGCAATTCGAAACAATTATCACCCCTTATCGTGACAAACACAAAACATTAGGCTACGTGCTGCCAAAGGTCTGTGCGTGCTCAAACCCAACACATGCACTCCCATGGCCACGTATGTGCATCGACGTACGGCCCGTATACCGTGTCCGCGACCAAATGTGCGAGACAAATCAAGACCGATCGGTCGACTGATCCATCTGATCAGTTGACCGACCCGAAGATGGATCGAAATGGACTGAACTTGGAAATTAGTCGGCTGAAAACTCGATCAGTAAACATATGCAAAACAACAAGAAACTATAAGAATTAGTTGATTTGCACCTACGCATGTACAATACACGTATGAACTTGAACTTAATCAACATCAGATATTCTAAACATATCTTAGAATAGGTATTTAAAGTAACATTTCTATTTCGCACAAGCATCCCATCTTTCTTAATTATATTGGATGACAAAGACTCAATCAAGCAAAAATTAAGTTGATTAGAGAGAACAACTGAGATTAAAATTTAAGAAAGTTGACTGCAACGGGTGGTCACAATCAAGCGTATGTATATATATCAAAGTAGATCCATTGCCTTTTTTTTTCTTAGAGAAATCTACACGTGATCTTTAATCTAACTACACAAACTTTATGCTAATGCTGTTAATGCTTTGGATTAAAGGTCCAACTAGCCTTTATTTAATTATATCCTTCCTAGTGACTGAGTGCAGCTTGCTACCTCCCTACGTCATATAGCATTATTATCTTTCAACATCATGGATATTGATAAAGAATGATCAACAGGCTCATCTGATAGTTCAAAATTATAAGCCTAAATTCTCAAACTAAACTTCCAAGCTAGCTGAAAGCTGCGAGATTATAGCTGAAAGCTGTCAACTAATTCTAGCTGAAAGAATGATCAACAGGCTCTGTTTGGCAAAACTAGCTGAAAGCTACGAGATTATAGCTGAAAGCTGTCAAGCTAGCTGAAAACTTTGAAATTGTAGCTGAAAGCTGATAGCTGTGTAGCTAGCTGATTGACTAGAGCTATTTGGCAAAAGAAGTTGGACAACTAGCTTAAATTTGTTAAATGACTAAAAAGGTCATGCAATATTATTAATATAAAATTAAAATTATTAGGGGCAAAAACGGAAGAAAAAAATTGACAGCTCCTTCCCAAAGACAAACGCTACTTGAGATAGCTTTCCAAAAGCTACTTGCAAAAGACACAATCTCCAAAATAATCTCCTCCTATTTTTGGTCACCAAACAGCTCTACTAGCTTATTGACCAAGTCAATAAGACACAAGCTCTTAGATAAGACACTTTTTTTGGTTGCCAAACAGTGCCTTAGTGTAACAAAGGGGCTTTGAGATCGACTTAATAAAACTATCCCTGTTTGAGATCAGCTGATTATAAATTGATTAAATTTTAGAAAACCACCCTTAACCTTAGATGATTATCAGATAACCCCCCATAACTATCATAATATTTGAAAAAACTATCATAATATTTGAAAACCCCCTCAAGTTTAGGGGTTATAACCCCTTTCAACTTTAAATTATCAAAACTATTAAAATTTTCCTAAACATCACTAATCAAATTTAACTTGATTAGGGTTCTAATCCTAATAAATTCGTCAATTTAGGGTTTAATCCATAAAAATCAAAAATAATTGGGGATGAGTTTGGAAAGAGATGAACTTGACTTTAGGGAGCAATTCAATCTCTAAATGGATGATTCGTACAAAATTTCTTCACAAAAGTTGTAGATCTAGCCCTCCTCTAGATCTTTGCTTCACAAAGTTTTTTCAAAATCGAAAAAAAATTTGGGGTTAGAGAGGGGGGAGTTGGCTGCTCAAACGACAGAGAAGGGAGGAAGAGAGAGATTCAGGTCGTTTATGACTAATGATTAAATATCTATATAATATATATATATATATATATATTATACTATATATATATATATATAATATATACTATATATATATATTAGTATATATATATATATTATATACTAGAATTAATGCGATATGCCTTGTCATAGGAGAGATTCCCTCCTTTGTCGCCTCATTGGTGGCGTAATCCGCACCATTATCCCTTATAAAGGCTAACCACAAATCCCCACCAAACTCACACACTTCATCTTCCTACTTTTATGAGGATGGTTGGGATTGTGCTACCATAGGCGTCAAGGAGAATAATCCCCTCCATGGACAAGCGAATACCATTGAATCTATATGATATATATATATATATATATATATATATATATATATATATAATATATATAGTATATATATAATACTATATATATAGAGAGACGAGATGAGATGGAGAGAGAGAGCAAAACTTGTGTCACTTAAGTGGTGATACAAAAAGTTGCTTCCCACAAATTTTTATCCACTCATCTTGCCTAGGGATCATTGCATGCGTATGAAAGCGTTTTTTATATTAATAAATGAGTGGCTAAGGAAGTTGTTGGTGGCGACATCAACTTAAGTGATAGGCATCTTACTATATAATATATATATATATATATATATATCATTATATATATATACTATATATAGACGCAGAGAGAGAGAGATGGGTATTGTTATGCGTACCAAACACAAGCTTTTTGTGTTTGGTAGTGACGGTGACATATTTCCCCTCCACTCATGGAAATCGAGGGCTCATATTCACATGGTTGAGGAGTGTTTTGAGAATTTAAGAATAGTGAATGAGATTAGAAACACCTCACTACTCAAGCCACAAAATTTGCGCTTGGCTACCACAGCATATACCTATTTTCTCATATAAATTAAATAAATATATTAATATAAATTTCAATATATATATATATATATATATATATATATATATATATATTATATATATTATATATATATATATATACTATATATATTATATAAATATGATTTTTTAAAATAATTCTCTTCTCTCTCTATTCTCACACCTAAAATTGAATAAAAGCACTCTCTTAGCCCCATGGAAACACCCTACACTGCCACATGGCAGTCCAACATCAAAAGTGGGTGATAAATATCAAATCAATTAAATCATGTGGTATTTTATCTACCTCGAAAATCGGGTTTCAGTTTTCGTCGTCAGAACGCAACGAAACTTGGCCCACAACACGGTCTTGACATTATAAGATCAATGGCACAAACCTCGTGCACATCTGATCAACAAAAAAAATTTCAGCAGATTCACGATACCGAGGCTGAAACTGCGAATCGATTTTAAATCTATTCTAATCTGATCGATTCCTCCCAGAATGATAACTAACCATAATAAAACTCATTAATTGTTATTTAAAATTATTTTCCAAGTTTTTAAATTTTTTGGGTTTTACACATGGAAGCCTCAGGAGCAACCAGAGGAGGCCTAATCTCAGGAACATGAGCATGAAGAGGAGGTGGATCAGCCAATTCAATAACGACATCCGTAAGACTAATTTTTCTGCCATTAAAGTTGATCTGGCACTGACCCATATCAAGCCATGATCAAGAAGTCAAATATGATCAATCACAAGGAAGTGCAGAGGTGGGTAAGGTCGTTGAGTCGCAATCCCCAAAAGTTGATGTTGATTCGAGCGTGAAGGAGAGACACCAAGAGATGAGCTTGGTCAGAAGTATCGTTGTGCTCACCCGCCTTCGAGAACATGTTCACATTCACAATGCCTGTGATGATTCGAGTATTATGATTGAGAGAGCCCGTCTTCTCGGATACCCGGTTAGCCACAGTATATTCCTCAAGTATAAGCTTGTACATCGCATCGATATCTAGATTGTGCTCGCATCGATATCTAGATTGTGCCCCGACATGTTAAAATCAAACTCATAAAGAGTTATCCCTAGTATGGAAAACCTAGTTCAGAGCCTCTGTACCTCAAGCCAAACCACCATTAGAGATACAAATACCCGTACAGAAAGCCGGAGTCATGTGCCACACGTTAGTGTTGTGGTTATTGCATAGGAATTCTGGCATCACCTCAGGATAAATCGACCCCTCCATCTTCAGGAAGTCAATCCATCTTAATAAGGAAACACCTGATATAGCTTTACCTTGACAGTGAATCACTAAAATATCTTAATAAGGAAACATGTGAGATTTTAGGGGCCCTGTGCGAAAAGTAAACACAGGGCCTTTCTCTATATACAAAATATCAATAAATTCTAATTCGAATCCCTAAAATGCTAGGGAACAAAATGTTGCTGATCAGACATTAAAATGTTACCTGAATTTTTTGCATCTGCATAATCTTTAACATACTTTTCAAGTGCTATTGCCCATTCTTCATCTCTTCGGTCACCTGAATAAAATGTCACTGATCAGATAAATACATGTAATCTTACTTTAATAAAGATTTCCAATAGAGTAAATAGTCCACAAGAAGAAATACTTGCATATTATGTTCCTCTTGTATCTGTGCTTACCTTCATAAGAGATATCAAAGCCTTTAGCATAAAAAAGTATCATCGAAAAATTATCCTCGCATTTTTAGCTGCAAAATCACTAATTAAGCCCTTAACATCAGTTTTATCTATAAAATCATTTTCAAATGATATCAAAGCTAGTCCATTTAGTCTTTCTTGTGACATGGTCAATCTCAGATAAGATTTTAATAATTTTAATTTTGATAAAAAAAAATTTCTGCAGATGCGACTGTAACAGGTATAGTCAATAATATTCTATAAGCAATACATGCATTTGGAAAATAATTTTGTATTTTTAAGAAATTCAGTATATCAATAGCCATCTTTGTTTCTTTTGGTAAAATATTTCGTAAGATTTTTAGTTCTCCAAATAAATCTTTCCCATCAATATCAGAATATGTTTTATATTTTAGAACAATTTCAAGATTATCACAACATGCTTTCAAATTATTTCATCTAATGAATTTAACTTTTCGGAACCAAACAAAAATCCAAAAATATATTCATATGCTTTATATTGCTCGAACCTTTTCTTTAGTGAACCAATAGCTTGATCTACAGTATATAAAAAATAATTGATTCTAAAAGATTCTTCAACTGACTGTGTTGTCTCCTCATTAACAATCTCATCAAATTGTCTTTTTCTACGGATTTGACGTTTTACTTGAAATACAGAATCAATTTTCATTTCAGTAGCAATTTCTTTAGCAATTGTCATAGCTTGTGTGAGTCCAACTTCTCTATAATCCTAAAAAAACCTAATCAATCCTTTTACTTGATCTATAGCAATATAGATAAGCATGTCTTTAGATTGTAAATATTTGCTAATTAAGTTAACAACAAACAATATATCATACCAAATAATCATACTTAATAAAAATACAAAATTTCCAATTCCATGTATTGCTAAAGAATCTGCTTCACTCCTTATTTTGGAGTCATTATCAGTTTTTGCTAACTGAAGTAGTGCTTCTTTTATTTCAAGCGTTTGGAATCTAATTGCTTTAACGCTTTCAATATGGCTTTCCTAACGTGTAGCCGACAATGACTTCACAGTTAAACCTTTTACATTATTTATCAAAATTTACCATCGCTTTATTGAGTGAGAAAATAATATATAAATACGTTGTATCACTTCAAAAAAGTCTTTTGCTTTAGCACAATAATTTGCCATATCACAAAGTGTTAAATTAAGACTATGACAACCACAAGGCGTGTATAATGCTCTAGGATTTATATCAAGTACTTTTTTTTGTACACCTTGGTGTCTCCCTTTCATATTAGAACCATTATCATACCCTTGACCTCATACATTATCAATATCAAGATTAAGAGTTTTTAGCACATTTTGCAATTCTTCAAAAAGTCCTTGTCCAGATGTATCATTTACTTTTAAAAATTCTACAAAAAATTCTTCTATTTTTATTAAGCTTGTAGAAATATCGACACATCGTAATATTAAAGTTATTTATTCTTGGTGACTTGCATCCAGAGTATAATCAAGTATTACTGAAAAATATTTAGCTTCTTTAATTTTTTGAACTATTGCACATTTGATTTTAGAAGCTAACATACTTATCAATTCATTTTGAATGCTATGACCAAGATAATGATAATGAATTTTACCATGGTCAATATGTCGAACATGTTCTTGCATTACCGGATCCTATTTCTGCAATCATTTCAATTAGGCCTAAAAAATTTTCATTATTATTTTGATAAATTCTCTCATTTGTTCATCGAAATGCCAAGTTATGTTTAGCAAGATATTTAACAATAGAAATTATTCTTTGTAATACTTTCTTCAAATGCTCCTTCTCTTTATTAATTTGCTCTTGAATATTTTTATCGATTGTTTTATTTTTCTTTAATCTTATGCGTAAATCAAGCCAAATACTCATGTTAATGATGTGCTCATTAGTTGTTTCATGTTCTTTAAGCCTAGCACTAAGATGCATCCAATCATTAAATCCTTCATTTATTAAAAAACTTTTCTTAAAACCATTTTTAAACAATTTACAATAAAAACAAAATACTTTATCGATATCTTTTGAATAAACTAACCATTCCCTATCACATTTCTCTCCATTTGATAAATGCCCAGTGTAAAATGCTGAAGAAAAACATCTTCCTAATTTATCTATAGGACCTTTTTTCAATAATAGATCTCTTATAGGGCCATTTTCCATTAATATATCTCTAGATTTTGTGTCCAAATTATTTCAAGTTCTTGGATCATAAATATTCAAATTCATGAGTATAGACTGACTAGGTTGTTCATTGCCTAAAAAATATTTTCATTCTCATTTTCATTTTCATTGTCAATATCAATTTCATTCTGATTCTGATTCTCATTTTTACTTTTATTTTTATTTTCATTTTTATTTTGATTCTCATTTTCATTATCATTTTCATTTTCATTACGATTCTCATTTTCATTCTGATTCTCATTTTCATTATCATTTTCATTTTTACTTTAATCATCAACATTTTCATTCTCATACTCATTCAAGCCCAAATCATTAATGTTATTATTTTCAATTGAATTTTCAACTAAATCTTGTGTTTCTCTAACAAGGAATTTATCAAGCGCTCCACTTTGAGTTTGGACAAATTGTTCAATTTTTCTTTTTTTCTTGCGTTTATCATATCCAAAATGATACTTTCTTGGAGGTATTTCTATAATAAAACAAAAATATTACAATCAAATTGAAAGAAGTCAAAAGATTAGGAATAATACAACCTAATTTGAAGCCTTAAATCAAGTGGAAGAGGTACTCGAGTAGTCTGCAAAAGATAGTTGACACCATATTATACCTGTATATAACCTGTTCATAAACCTGTTCAAAACAGAAAAGAAATAATAAAGGTCTCATTAACAAAAATACAATTGCATGACACCATAAGCTCAAAAAAAGATGAACAGAACTATAAAGGAAAAGAGAATTACAGATGTTTATAAGCTAACATAATGAACAAAGTATTAATCTTTTATTTGCACAAGACATTACTTAGGGCCAATAACATGGCAAGAGTATCCATAAATTTCAAAGCTAAAGTTCTAAACTATGTTAAATATATGTTCACTCAAAGCTAGCATCCTTGCTCACTGCACTAAAAGTCTAAAAATAAAAATGCAAGCATCCTTGCTCTGAACTTTCATCTTAGAGTTTGATACACTTTATGTCTTTAAAGTCCAATGTCCATTTCTTGCATTAGATTTACAACACAAACTAAGAAATGGGTTGTCATCAAAATCTTAAATTTATAACTCACCAGTGAGAGTTCACTCAGCAAGTAACAAAAAGAAAGAGAAGGGGAACAATGAATTACCTCAAGAAACCCAACCTCGCGGTTCAATGTCTGGACCTCAAGCTGCAGCCTCCTCCTCCCACAGAAATCAGGGTACTTCAACAACGGACAGTTGATAAAACAAAGATTTAAACTAGTTCCCCTCAAATTTCCCCCCAAAAAATGATAAAATAGAGCGTTATCCATACCAGATCCAACAATTCCTCGAATCCTAGGACAAATATCGGCGATTTCTTGCGATCTCTTGCCTTTGATTTGAGAATTTAGATAAAAAATTGATTTTTTTCGTCCCCTTTGGAATTGGGGAAAGACCGGAAGAGAGAGCTCAGAGAGGCTGAGTTGGAACTTGGAATGAAACGTGGGTTAGGAACTTAGGAACTTAGGTGAGGTGGTTTATTATATACATATAAATATAAATAAAATTTTTTTTGGTCCCTCAAAAAATTAGGGCCCTGTACGGTCGCTCACCCTGCGCAGGCCCAAAGCCGGCCTTGACAGTGATAGTGTGGAAGTCCATGGGATGACCTAACAAAAGTGTCTTCATCGATAATCGATCGTAGAGCTTTGAATCCCGATTGTCGTAGAGTCAATCGTCCACGGTAGTAGGATGACTCCTAGAAGAGCCCTCTCCTGCCAATGAAGAGACCCTAGGCCTTTAGGAGTAGCCCTCGAGCGTGTTGACATAGTTTTAGAGAAAGAGAGAGAATTAGAGAAAAATTAGGATTAGGGTTTTAGTTTTTGGGTAGATTAGAAATGATCGAGTGGTATAATTTATCCTCCTAAATAGCCTTGGAACGGTTGGAATCGAGTTTAGGTAGGATTTGGAAGAGGCAGAAACACTTAAAGGAGAGATTTGAGAGAGATCAAGATGCTTGTATAGTGATCAAAAGTAGTCTCAATGTCGATTTGAACTGACACCGGACATCTAGTCGTGATAGCCAAACATTTGATGTGACCGTTTTTGCATAAAGATCTAGCTTGATGATTGGGTTTGTTTTTGAATTCTTACAAAATTATTTGGGGAGTTTTACAAAAAGTTTTAGAATAAATTTGTTTATTTCTTAACAAGAAAAATTTATCTTGGAGTTTTGGAAATTTTTTTAAGAGTTCGTTTTGCGATTTAGGTCCCATTTGACAAGATTTTGAAATTTGCCAAAAAAATTCGTAAGCAAAAGTTTATACGCTTATTCATATATGTCATTTTAATTTTTCTAATAAGTTTTGGAGAAATTTTGGTGATTTTTGACATGATGAATTTTGTTGTTTAATGATTTTTCACTTTGGACCCCATATCTAAAATTTAATTTTTTTTTAAGAATTTATCTTTTTGTTTCACAGAAATGGTGTTTAGTTTATGCAATTATAATTATGAGTAATTGTTGATTCAACGTTTTGCACGAATTACCTCTTAGGACTTCAGTTTTGACAAGAAGGAAGTTTTTACACTTTACAGCCTAATTTCAAAAGGATCATATTTAAACATTTTAATTGGAAGAAAAGTTTAGAATTAATAATTTTATGATGATTGAAAGTTGGGGAAAATGTGTTGAGGCCCAAAAGCAGAAAAATCATGTGACGAGGCCCCTTATATTTCCCCCCATGTTGATAAGCCCCAAAAAGCAGCCTTTAATATTTTCCAGGCCCCTCCACGTCAGTTGTATACAAAAGAGCAATTGTATTTTGTGAAAACCCCGAGTTTGCTCTTCTCTTTCATCCCCAGACGCTTCGTACCCAGACGCTTCGTCACCTCCCATTAAATGTAACCTGCTGTAAAAAATGGAGGGAAAATTCCCCCTATTTTCCCTCTATCATGAGCAATAAATATTTAGTTCTTCATTATTCTTTCCTCAGACGAAAATTCTCTCCATTACTCTCTCAATATTACTCCTCTTTGTCCTAACTTCGATCCATTACTCTTACCTCCACTTCATAATGGCTGAAAAGGACATCATCTGCATTGTCGCTTCGGGGGATAGAGCGGTATTCATGAAGATCAACTCTTCAACCACCATTCTGGATCTAAAATTTGATGTGTCAGAGAGGTTAGATCTTCCATATGATTTGTTAAGTATGGCATACAAGGATGAAACAAATGGAAGCTTCAAATTCCCCATTGAGAACAAAGATGATGTGTCGTCTATGTTGGAGCATTGCATAACAGAGAATTAAAGGAGGTTCACATGCAAGCTTTCAAAGAAACATGGATTCTTCAAAAGTCCACAACAACGAGCAAGTTCGACAAGACATGTAGGGGCAAGGATTTTTTTGATGCTAAGACCAATATTCACGACGTTAATTGTAATATCAATTAATGTTAGTCCAAGCTAGTTCCATGTTTGTTTTAATTGGATTATAGCTCGGATTTGAGTGCATGTTAGCTCTAATCGATTTCATGTTAGTTCTATCCGCTGTGAATTCTAGTTACAGCTCTATGCGTATGAAGGAGGTTCATGCTAGTTCTTGTTCTACGTGAATGTATTAAACATGTTGGTTCTAATAGATTTATTGTTAGCTATAATCTATTAATTTTTCGTTCCAATCGACTTATTGTTAGTTCTAATCGATTTGCTATGAGATCTAGCTCAAATTTTGTGTTAGGTCCAATATGTTAGTTGTAATTGATTTCATGCTAGTTCTAAACGATATCATGTTAGTTCTAATTGAAATCTTGTTAGTTCAATTGGATTCCATGACAGTTCTAACACAAACAGTTGTTGTTTTTATCTTTTTCTTATTTGTGTTATTTGTTGATGTTTCTATTGTATAGTTTATGATCATTTGTTTATGTTCTTTATATTAGCAGCGCTTCCAGCAGTATGAACTCAAAAAGTATAGAGTGTGGCCCGCTGTTGTCAACGCCCACATGTGTTTCAGATAGGCACTGCTGGATTTTCACCCTTTAGCGACGGAAAATTCCGTCGCTAAAACTTTTAGCGTCGGAAAAAATGAAATTCCGTCGCTAAAAGTGCGACGCTACATTCAGGGTCCCTAATTGAGGCTTTAGCGACGGAATTTCCGTCGCTAAAGTTCAGCAATGGGGTATTAGCGACGACAAATTCGTCGCCATTTATTAAAAAAAAAACATAAGCAACGGAATTTTCGTCGCTAAAAATGGTATTAGCGACGGAAATTCCGTCGCTAATGTTTTTAAAATTATTTTATTTTTTTTCCCGTGCACATTTTTCGTTGCTAAATACATATTTAGCGATGGAAAATCCGTTGCTAATGTTTTTTTATTATTTTATTTTTTTCTGTGCATGTTTTTCGTTGCGAAATATATATTTAGCAACGGAAAATCCGTTGCTAAATATTTATTTAGCGATGGAAAATCCATCACTAAAAATAACAATTAATTTTTAAAAAAATATTTTAAAAATTATTGAAAAAAACCCTATACAATATCGATACTAATTTTAGAAAACCTATTCAATCAGCAGTATAATATTCAATCTCACGCATATATCCCATATTTATTTCAATAAAAACAAATAAAAGTTTCCCGACAGGTACATAATAAATATTGTTTATACAACACAAGAAATTGTTTTCAAAGTTAAATTAATTATAATCAATCCTCCTAATCATCATCATCATCCTCATCCTCAACACCAGCTACATTATGACTACCCCCGGCTGCACCTTGTGAAGAAGTCCCGGCCTGTAAATATAAATCAAACGTTAACAAGCGTATGTAACCGTTAATAAGAGTGCAAATATAAATATAATTCTCCCAACACTACAACACAACACAATACAACATAACACCAAAATACCATAACACAACAATACAACAACACAACACCACAACACCACGACCAAAACCCCTACCCACCCACCCACAAACCAAATCCTCACTCCTCCCCCTCCCCCACCACGACCAAACCCCTACCAAAACCCCCCACAAACCAATCACATAACGACCACCACAACCAACCAACCAACCCACCAACCAATACCACCACCACTATGCACGCACGCACCATCAACACCACAATCACATAAAAATATTATAAGTATATATTTTGGGCTTTGTGTTAGGGTTAGGGTTAGGGTTTGTGTGTAACAGTTTGTATCAGTGTGTATCGGTGTGTATGATATCATCTAGTCACGAAAAAATATCATAACTAAGTAAGAATTATATATTTAATTTATTTAATTAAAAAATTAAAGTATATATATTACCTGATCCGACATAAACCGTCTCCTATATGCCTCCTGAGCCTTCTTAGGCAAAGTGGACATGAATTGTGTGAACTCTAATTATCTCTGCTCATGGCGCCTCCGTTCTTCCTCCATAATCCGCTGATATGTTGTTTGCTGTGACTGCCAATCTTCAATCGCTTTCAACCACTGCTCCATCAAGTCTTGATATGAACTGCTTCCTGGTGTTCCTGGTGGTGCTGCAGACTCGTAGGTGCTACTAGACTCGTGCGGCCTCTGCTCAGATCCTCTCCACCGGTATCTGTTCTTCCTACTAGGTCCAATGACCGTCTCGATGATGGAGTCCTCCTCTCTACTTAGCCGGGCAGGAGTATTAGAACCGACCAGAGACTGAGACATTTGCTCTTATACCTTAGCATGTAATTTCTCCTGCGATATATCAAAACAGCCCGGGCAAGTCGACTTACTAATGATGCATTGTTATGAAATTGAATATATAAATAAACTGCTACTTATAGCCAGATCCTTATTCTTTGCTTTCTTCTCTTCATCGGCGTAATTCGGGCTCCAGGAAGTCAGAATACGATCTGCAAAATGTCTGAGATCTCCCCTTCCCTATTTTATTCAAATATATCATTAACCCATAACACATAAATTATACTCAACTTAAAAGCTAATATATATATATATATATATACCTCAATCTCCAATTGATGATAATGCTGGCTGAAGGACCTGGAGCCCCCGTGATGCTCGTAACTGCGGGGCTTGTTGCGGTTCCTCCTTGCTATTTCAGCTTGAGCCTGCAAAACAATGTCAAATCAAAATAATATAGAAATTCAAACAATAAACTAAAAATATATACTTCAATAATACCTGAATTTCAGCTGTGTCCCAGTAATCGCAAAGTGCAAAAAAATCTACTCCATCCACACACTCGTCAAGATGCCAGAATCGCTCCCAATCTTCTGTTATTTGAACAAAATATTTTTTCTTCACCCTCACCCTTACCTAACCCTAACCCTAACCCTAACCCTAACCCTCGCCTAACCCTAATCCTAACCCAAACCCAAACCCTCACCTAACCCTAACCCTCAACCTCAACCTCACCATCACCCCCACCCTCACCTAACCCTAACCCTAACCCTCACCCACACCTTCACCCTCCACTAACTCTAACCATAACCTTAACCCTTAAACTCACCCTCACCCTCACCCCCACCCCTCACCCTCACCCTCACCTAACCCTAACCCTAACCCTCACCTAACCTTAATCCTAACCCTAACCCTAACCCTAACCCTCGCCTAACCCTAATCCTAACCCTAACCCTAACCCTAACCCTCACTCTCACCATCACCCCCACCCTCACCTAACTCTAATCCTAACCCAAACCCTAACCCTAACCCTAATCCTAACTCTAACCCTAACCCTCACCAAACTCTAACCCTAACCCTCGCCTAACCCTAACCCTAACCATAACCCGTATTAAATTTAATTTTTTATATTATAATTTTATCAAGATGAACATTTTTTATTAGGGTTTGGGTTTTTTGCACAATCTTTTTGTTTTGCCAAATTAAACTCTAATTGTAAAAATTAAACTATAATTGCAAAAATTAAGAAATATCTCTTTCTCTCCCCCTCCCCCCTCAATCTCTCCT